ACGTGTGTTAACATGCATGCACAGGTAAGAATTAAATATTTACCCAATTTAATATAAGATGTTAACAAAACCATGCTCAATATGGTTAGACAGAGTAAAGAAGTATATATTAATATACATTACTTTTGTAAAGTAATAGTTTGTACACTTTTGTTGCTTTTTGTAAAGTAATCATTCATATCTGATGAGTTGGTAGAAAAATGAAATTTTAAAATTGCACTTCAAATGTAGGTATAGTATATTTATTAAAATATATATATATATATATATATATATATATATATATATATATTTATATATATATATATTAGGACTTTTGAAGAAGTTTTTGCTTTTTCAACAAATAACATTCCTAGAATTGCCTGTGTGTCTGTTTCAAATGGTAGCACATCTATAAGGAAGAACTTAAGCAAATTAAATTCAGTGTATGTCATTTTGTTGAAGTGTAAACAACTTTGTCTTTTCCCAGTGATAAACACGTTGATTTCAATTGATCCAAAAGAAAGTGTATTTGCAAAATTTTTTGCACTACTTTTATTCAAAAGAAATTTTGCAACTGAATTTTGAGTGAAATTCTTGTTGAAATTAGTCTATTTGTTGGATAATATGCAGAGATTAAAAAACTAAATAAATGATATATATTTTAATGTACATATATGTTATATGTGTATATATGTATATATATATATATCAGTTTATATGTATATATACTATATATATATTTTTATAGGAAGATAAATATATTAAAATTATATATATATGTATATATATATAGAATATATGTGTATATATGTTTTTTTCTTTTTTAAGATTTGATGATATTCTGTTATTCCTTTGGTATTTGTATTTTTCAGCAATATAGTTAAAAAAAATAAGAATATAAAAATATTTATAGATTATTAGACTGTAATTTAATAATTAAATTATGTCTCTTAATGCTTTATAAGCATTTAATGTATTGAATGGAATAGAACCAGCAATTATTTAAATGTTCTTCTATGTGAAAAATGGCAATAAAAGAGTGGATACTTATATTTGGCCATCTGCCTGTTCAAATACTCTTGTGGAGAAGAACTGTTTTCCAGTGGTCCATCCATTGTGTTTAATAATCACCTTCTCATCAAATGTTATATATATATATATATATATATATATATATATATATATATATATATATATATTTATTTTAAAATTGATTAATCATGTTTATTCCATTATCTGATGTATGTATAATCAAGTTAATCTATGATCTTAATAGCATGTTTGATCCATTGAGACATTTCTCAGGGCAAAAATGGTCCTTGTCAGTGTCCATCTTATCTGGATTGTAATTTAACATCAGCAGAAAATAATTTCTTTCCTGGCCTACTGGGAGGGGAAGTTGTGTTCATTTGAGGCTATTGTTGTCAGTGAAAATTACTGCATTTCAACTGTAAATGATGAGATTTTCCTCCAATCTAGTAATGTGCTCAAATTCATAAAGTCTAGGTACTATAGAGGAATGTTTATCATAGCCAATTCCATGAAAATATTTATAGAAAAAGGCTCAGAATGCCACATTCAGGTTGGTACAGATTTTGCACTTTTAGTTGTATTTTTTTGCTATGTAATTCTTTAACCAACTAATCACTATCCATATGTTAGCATTTAAAATATCCAATCATTTTTGATCTTAACATTTGGCATGAATTTTTTCTGAATAAACAGAATCACAAATAAAAGTTGGCAATTTTTACTATTTTATCTGATTTGACAATTCACTAAAAAAAATAAACTTTTTGGGCTTATTTTTATTGTATATAATACTGACAATATATTGATGTATTTTATTTTTTGTTAATTAGTATATAACTATGGAATAAATTCTGTAGTATTATCCAATGAAGAAAGTTGTATATATTAAACAATTTAAATATTAAAAAAAAACTCAATTTATTAAACTCAAATTATATTATGAGATAAAATTTTGCCTAAATTTCTTCAAATATAAATTTATATATATAATATATGTTTGTATATGCAAAAGGAACAGTGATGACAGCCAGTCCCAACAAAAAATTTTTGCACAAAGAAGGCTTCTGAATGTAAAGTGCTATTTGAAATACAGAGTGTGACCGCCAACACAGTGAACCAGTCAATACTTAATTTGGCGGCACTGTATTTTAAAAAAGATGTTCGTTATGGCGGAACTGTAGGTGTTCGACGAGTCCACTTAACGGCAAGGTGTGTTTTCTAATTTTAGTACAAACGCGCTGCTGTTTATTCTAGTGTCTAAGCGCTGAGTTGTTCTCCCTATGTAGTTGGCCCGCAACTACAAAACGACGGTAAACAATTGAATTAATATGGTGGGAGGAGAACGTCTTTACACGCAGATCGAAACATGGGCCGAGTTTGAAAATAATCCGACTTCAGCAGAGAAAAAGCAGCCCAGTCACACTCTGTATTTCACCTGAAGGTTCTGGAGGCAATTTACATCGGTCCCGCAAGCCTTCTTTGTGCAAACAACGTGAGTGTTTTGTTGGGACTCTGGCTCATCTGCCTCTAGTTCCTTCTTGCATACACAAACATATATATATATATATGCGTAATTTTTTTTTTTTTCCATATTCACATTGTACATTTCTATGTTTTAATATTGAATTCCTGCGGGAAGCCTGACGAGCGGCAGCTAAACCGTTACTTGCCCCTGTTGTTGAGTTTTTTTTGTTTTTTTTATTATTTAATATTGTTTTTATATGTCTTGTAATATTAAATTTTATACTTTTATTTCGATCATATATATATTTATATATATATATATATATATATATATATATTAATAAGCACAAAAAAGGAATATAAAACTCAATTTTCAGAACAATAGGTTAAATACAACATATTTGACAGATGCATCATGCAAAATCGGAAATGACACAATTATTCATACAGTAGAAAATATCAAGCGGGGCAAATGGGCCTGGATAATTAATTGCAATAAGAGGAATAATGAAATCTATAGAGTATCCCAATATATTTGGGATGAAAATCTACAACTATCAGCCTAAAATCTTCATTTAGGTTGGCAATTTAATTTCCCACAAATCAGTGACTGCATGGCTTCAGAAAAAGAAGATTACAGTTATGCCATGATCTTCTATGAGTCCTGACTTGAATCCTATTAAAAATCTATGGCAAGAATTGAAAGTCCGAATAAATTATTATTTACCAAAAAACCTTCAGGAATTAGAACCTGTAACCATTGAAGAATAGAAGAAAATCCCTGAAAAGTCTTGTTCAAATTTCATGAAAAACACTACAAAATGATTTCAACAAGTTATAAACATGGGAGGCCATGCTATTGACAATTAACATTGGGAAAATTGTTCAATTTTTTCTACTTTTCATACTGTATGAATAATTTTGTCTTTTCCTCTTTCACATAATTTGCCTATTTGTTGTATTTAACCAGTTGTTCTGAAAATTGAGTTTTGTATTTCTTTTTTGTGTGCTTATTAACATATAAAAAATCTGGCATCACACTGGCATGAGATTCAGAGAAATGGGTAAAAATATTCAAAATTGATGAGTGTACAAATAAATTTGTCATTGAATATATATATATATATATATATATATATATATATATATATATATATATATATATATATATATATATATATATATATGTATACAGTTGTATGGATATGAATTTAGACCCTGGGTTTCATGTGTTTGCAATCATCAAACAAATAAAACATATATAAAAAGTATATATACATACACACACACACACAAACATATATATATATATATATATATATATATATAGTTAAAACTAAAGAGCAAGACAAACCTAAGGTTTCACCTAAGCGGATTTCTATTAAGAATATATATATATATATATATATATTCTTAGCTTTGGAGCAAGTAGAATGGAGATCAACATGTTTTAGTGGACTCAGCAATTTTCAATCTGCTTGTCTGAATCATCTTCAAGAAGCGAGAGCAAGATCTAAAATGTCAGCCAAACTAACAATGATCTCATCTCACAATCCTCACACTTGCTCTATATGTGGCCTCCTTTGTAAATCACTAGCGGGTCTTAAATGCCACTTAAGATTATCGCACAAACATTCATAACTGAATCAATAAGCTATCAGATCCTCATACATTAAAACTGACAGGAAAATTTTGGTGTCTCTTTTTGGTCAGGCTGATAATCTTTCAGCAATCACTTGTACACACATAAATTGCAAATAAAAATGCACACACAGACACACTTCCACACCTGATATATTTATTTATTTCTCTTCATATTTATAAATGTAAGCAACTAAATTTCTATAGAAATGTCAGAATTTAGGTGATGATTGATTATTTGACCTCCTGAGATGAGATTAAATATAAGAAAGTCTTTCTACTTTGGGAAAGTCAGGAAAGAATTTATTATGATTTTCTTGATTCAAAAGAATAAAAAGAACATGATTAATAAGTTTTTAAAACGCCACCCCTTCACTCCACCTCTTCCATGTTTATTTTAAGGCAGAAAGCAAATTAATCGCAACCGTTTACTAATATTTTTGAAAAGGAAATTAAAAAATTATTAATCGTTCAAGAAAAGAAAAATGACGATCTTTATGCAGGGGTTTTGTTCACTTTCCTTTTACAGTAGGTTTTAAAAATATAAAGAAGAAAAGACATATCCTCGATCAATATTACCGATTCCAAAGAATTAAAAGAAAAAAAGTCGGTAACTAATTCTGAGATTCCACAAGTGGTCATGTCAGTAGCTTGTATATTACTAAAAATTATTGATTAATGACTCTTAAAATTTCAGTTGATGAATTAAGTGTCAAGTCTTTTTGTGGGGTCAAATATAGCTTCAGTATATTTTGTTTTATAATGAACAATGTGAATTTTTGTTTCTTTCTTTTTCTGTCTGTCCATAACTTCTGTTGTATTAAAAGCAAGCAGATAAATAAAATTAATGAGTGAATTCTATCCTGATTTGAAGACTTGATATGGGGGTAAGCCATCAGACAGTGCAGATGTAATACTGATCCCAGGCAAGGAGAAAGAGAGCTCTGCACCTAGTTAGAGTGCACAGGTACTACACTGACTCAGGCAAAGGATCTGGGAACCACAGTCAGAACACAGACATTATACTTTGATCTAATTCTTCTTTCTCTTCTCTACTTTTTCTTCTTTCTTCTTTTTTTTCTATTTTTTCTTTCTTATTTTTTTTCCTATTTTTCTTCTTTCTTATTTTTTCCTATTTTTCTTCTTTCTTATTTTTTCTTCTTTTTTCTCCTCCTCTTTCTTTCTTCTTTTTTCTCCTCCTCTTTCTTTCTTCTTTTTTCTCCTCCTCTTTCTTTCTTCTTTTTTCTCCTCCTCTTTCTTTCTTCTTTTTTCTCCTCCTCTTTCTTTCTTCTTTTTCCTCCTCTTTTCTTTCTTCTTTTTTCCTCCTCTTTCTTTCTTCTTTTTTTCTCCTCCTCTTTCTTTTCTTCTTTTTTCTCCTCCTCTTTCTTTCTTTTTTTTCTCCTCTTTTTTTTCTTCTTTTTTCTCCTCCTCTTTCTTTCTTCTTTTTTCTCCTCCTCTTTCTCTTCTTTCTTCTTCTTTTCTCTAATCTTCTACTATTCTTCTCTATTCTTTTTATTTTCTGTTCATTTTTCTTCTCTATTCATCTTTTTCTATTCTATTTCTTCTTCTTCTCTATTCTTCTTCATCTCCTCCTTTCCTCCTCTTTTTCCTGTTATTCTCCCTCCTCCCCCTCTTTCCTCCTGTTTCCCTTCTCTCCTACTCCTCCTCTTCTTGCCTCCTCCTACTTCTTTCTAAATCTTCATGCTTCCTACTCCACTTCTCCTCCTGTCTTCCTGCAGCCACAGTCTCTTCCTCTTCTCCACCTTTCTTCTTGCAGCGATGACTTCTCCCTCTTCTTCTCCTGTTTTCTTACTGTCATGGCTTCTTCCTCTTCACTAATGGTTTTCTTGCTGCCTAGGCCTCTTCATCTTATCACTGCCTAGGCCTCTTTCTCTTATTGTAGCCGAGGCCTCTTCCTCTTCTTCTCTTCCTGTCTTCTCACAGCAACAGCCTCTTCTACTTCTACCTCTGTTTTCCTTTCTTGCTACCATGGCTCTTCTTCATCACCCCTGTCTTCTTATTGCCAGAGTCTCTCCCTCTTCTCCACTTTTCTTACCACCATGGCTTCTTCCACTTCTACCTCTGTCTTCTTGTCACCATAGCATTTCTACTTCTCATCATTTCATGGCACTTTGGCTGCTTCCACCTCATCCTGTCTTCTTGCCAGCACAGTCTTGTCTTTTTCTTCTGACTTCTTGCTGCCATGGCCTGTTCCTCTTCTCCTCTTCTTGTCACAATGCAGCCTTCCTCGTCTCATCCTGTTTTCATGCCACCACAGCCTTTTCTTCTTGTCCTCCTGACTTCTTGCCATCATGGGGGCTTTCTCTTCTTCTCCTGACTTCTTGCTATCATGCAAACTTCCATTTCTCCTGTCTTCTTCCTACCATGGAATCTTCCTCTTCTCCTCCTGTCTTCTTAACACCACAGCTACTTCCTCTACTTATCCTGTCTTCTTGCCAACACAGTCTCTTCCTTTTCTCGTGTCTTCTTGCTACCACAGCTTCTTTGCCTTCTCTTCCTGTTTTCTTCTCTCCATGGCTACTACCTCTTCTCCTCCTGACTTCTTGCCATCCTGAGGGCTTCCACTTCTCCTCCTGTCTTCTTGCCAAAATGAAGTCTTTCTTTTCTTCTGCCTTCTTTCCACCCTAGCCTCTTCCTCTGCACATCCTGTTTTCTTGCCACCAAGGCCTCTTCCTCTTCTTGTCCTGTCTTCTTGCTGCCACAGGCTCTACCTCTTCTCCTCCTTACTTCTTGCTACTATGTTGTCTTCCTCTTCTCCTCCTGTCTTGTTCCTGCCATGAGGCTTTCCTCTTCTCCTGTTTTCTTGCCAACATGACATCTTCCCCTGCTAATCCAGTCTTCTTGCCACCACAATGTCTTCCTCTTCTCTTCCTTCTTGCCATGGGGTCTTCCCCTTCTCCTCCTGTCTTCTTGCTACCATGGCCACTTCCTTTTCTTCTCATGTATTCTTGCTGCCACAGCTTCCTCCTGTTGTCATCTTGTCATTTAACAGCCACAGCCTCTTCATCTTTTCCTCCTATTTTCTTTTAACCATGGCCTCTTCATCTTCTCATCCATGCTTCTTAATGCTACGGCCTCTTCTTCTTCTCCTCATGACTTTTTGCCCTCATAGGGTTTTCTACTTCTCCTGTTTTCTTGCTGCTATGGTCACTTCCTCTTCTCCTCCTGTCTTCTTCCAACCATGGGTCTTCATCTTATCATCCTGTCTTCTTGCAACCACAGACTCTTCCTCTTTTCTTCTCATCTTCTTTCCTCTATGCTCTCCTCCTCTACTCATCCTGTTTTCTTACCACCTCATCCTCTTACTCCTCTGGTCTTTTTCCTTCCACAGCCTCTTCCTCTTCTCAGCCTGACATCTTGCCATCATGGGGTCTTCCTCTTCTCCTCTTGTTTTCTTCCTGCCCTTGAATCTCCCTCTTCTCTTCCTGTTTTCCTGTCCTCTTTCTCTTCTCTTCCTGTTTTCCTGTCCTCTTTCTCTTCTCTTCCTGTTTTCCTGTCCTCTTTCTCTTCTCTTCCTGTTTTCCTGTCCTCTTTCTCTTCTCTTCCTGTTTTCCTGTCCTCTTTCTCTTCTCTTCCTGTTTTCCTGTCCTCTTTCTCTTCTCTTCCTGTTTTCTTGCCACCATGGCCACTTTCTCTTCTCATTCTGTCTTCTTGCTAACCCAGACTCTTCCTCTTCTCCTCCGGTTTTCTTGCCACCACAGTCTCTCCCACTTCTCCTTACTTCTTGCCACCATGTTGTCTTTGTCTTCTCCTCCTGTCTTCTTACCGCCATGACCTCTTCCTCTTCCCCTCTTACCACTATGACCTCTTTCTCTTCTCCTCTTGTCTTCTTTCCACTACAGTGTCTTCCTCTTCTCCTCCTTCCTGCCTCTTCTCATCCTGTCTTCTTGCCTCCATGTCCTCTTCCTTTTCTGATCCTCTCTTCTTGGATCTATGGCCTCTTTCTCTTCTCCTCCTGTCTCCTTTCCACCTCCTCCTCCCTTCTTTCTATTCCCTATTTATATTATACTTTTTTTATTTGTTTTTATTTCTTACATTACTCATTTTCTTTTTCTATTTCATAATCTCTTTTTCTGGAGTTTAATGTGAAGGGTTAAGGGCATAAAGAAATTAAACAGCAAACTTTGACTCAAACAGTTTTCATACTAATTCTCTTGGAAAAGTCATGAATCCACTTCTCTTCACATGTAAAGGGCTGAATAGTTGGAGCTGTTTTTACTTTTAAAGTAAATTCATTTTGGGTTCTCAATAACATGTCCAGTGATCAATATTTACTGTTGATACTATGTAAATTATAACAATTTGTCACATGTTACTTAAAGATGGCCGCTGCTCAGTATTCTTGCCATGAGGAGGAATTACATGGCATAGTATATCTGAATATCTGAATAAATCATGAGAAATGTCAGTCTTTCTTTCTTTTTTTTCTTCAGTCACTTTCTTTAGACATTTTTCTTAATCTCAAAATTTAAAGGGAGGTATAGACATTAAGGTCATTGTAATAATTTTAGCTTGAAAACCATCAGTCACTGTAACTATTGGTGACCATTATTTGTAAATGATCATTTATATGCAAACACAATGCCCAGCTAAGATATTTATCGCAATGTTTCAGCCATAGTACGCTCCAGTCTTCTTCAGGTGATTGGAATGTCGAACTGAACCCATTAGACTGTTCTAGCTCCACATGCCATGTCTAATGGATGACAGTTATCAGTTATCTCCTGTTAATTCCCCTCTGAAAGTTCTCCACTGCCTTGACCAAGTATTGAACTCACACTTTGGGTCTTGTCACTGGATCTAACCAACACCTCTATCCACTGTGCTATGTGTCCTTGAGGACATCTGTGTATGAATTTCTGGGACTTATAAACTTAATGTCTTCAGCAACCATTTTTACCAGTGCTCATATTGCAATTATTGCTGTTATCATTGCATGTTTTTTACCAGACATGGCACGTAGAACTAGAACAGTCTACCCCAGCAAGCAAAATAAAGGTTTCAGTTTGACATTCCAACCAACCACCTGAAGAAGGCTGGAAATTACAACAGCCGAAACATTGTAATAAATATGGCAACAAGGAAAATGACAATAGTCCGAATAATGTAAATAGTGTACATAATACATCATCTCAGAAATACAGACAGATATGCAAGCAAAAATATTGAACTTTTTTTGTATAACTTGTCAGTCCCCTCACCCCCAAATAAAGAAAATGGTTCCAAAGAGATTTATTTGCCATCTTTGTTACCCCCTCAACCTCCAGATCTACTTGATAGATACCGTCAGTTGAAACTTGATTGGCCATCACTTCTGACAAAGACAGTAGTGATATTAGAGACTGCCTACATTTTCTAAACATGCCACCATCAATGCACAGGCTTTTAAACCCTGGCTGATGTTGCTCTCCTGGTTACTTCTGGAGAAGGTGTCCCCCTTGTGAGATCCTTGAAGATGTCAATTGTGGATTTCTCTGTCAAGCAAACATGTAACGATCACATAAAGGCTTTTGTTTGATTGAACGCATAACAGAGAAAATCAAATGAAAAAGTGAAACACATCTATATGTATATCGCTTTGTCTTTTTCTACCTCTTCCAGTCTGTTTAGACCTATCTATCTAATTCTCTCAATCTGTTTATATTTCTCTTACTTTACAATTTTTCTCTTGTAGTTTGCTCTCATCTAGAATTCTCAGGATGAGTGCATGACCAAATGGTTAGAACATTCCCTTTCTGACCATGAGACCCAGGTTTAAATCTCATCATAGTCGATTTATCGGGAAGGTGATGTTATTGGAATGAGGAAGCTATCCAAGCATGGAAAGTTCCTAAAAACCATATCATGGGTTGACCCAAGCATTGTGAGTGAAATCAGGTAGACAGAACTATATGGGAACCATTGATGGTTGTGCTAGCATGAAGTCCCAAGTCAACGTGACCGAGGGTTTGAGCATACTAGCCTTGTTCATATCATGCCAGATAATGTGCTCTCTCTCAGAAAGTGTAACTAAGGCCTGTTCAGCATAGTAAGAGTATAAAGCACAGGTGAACTGTGTGGGTGCTGAACAAACATAAATGTGCCTGAACAGAGATTGGATAGCAGCCCAGGTAGGCATGTATACTTGGATATGACCAGCCAACTATGAGTTCTCAGTGTGATTGCATATTTCTTTCTATCTATCTATCTATCTTGTATGTTCTACTTCTCTTTGTCAATCTGGCTCTGTTCTGGCTATCTCTGGCACTAATCTGGCTATCTCTGGCCCCATTCTGATTATTTTTGCCACCATTCTCTAGCTATCTGGGTCATTGTCAAGAACTAAATATTATCAGTATTGAAGACAAGAGTATATTATCTACATTGATATTTTATGGAATGGTACATTACAAATTAAAATATACCTGTATCATAACATCATGCAGAGAATTATGTTACAATGCTTGATAACACCAGAAACAAGTATATAGATATTTTACATCTATTATATTTATTTTATATGCATTTTAAATATCTACAGAAACAGTTGAAAACCCTATTTTTCTATGTGCTGTGTCCATTCAGGATGTGGGTGATCATGGCTCTCCACAATTTTATGTCCTTTGTAGTTCTTAATTAATTTTATCTTTGACCCATCACTCCTAAACCCTGTTCTGCCAACCATTTACACAAACTTGTTAGGTAGTTTATCTGCTCGTTCCAAATCTTCTGCAACCCCGTGCATCCTAGTGGCTTCACACCTTGCTCAGGGTGTAATGCTTAATATATATATATATATATATATAGATGAGAAAAGAACAGGAAGCAAGGAAAGAATTAAAGATAAGGGATAAGTAAGAATGACATAGAAAAACAAAAATAAAATGAGTAAAAGAGAAGGTTAAAGATAGGGATGAAAAGGATGTAGAGTCCAGTATAGCAGTATGCTCCTTCTTTAAATGGATGATTCAGCATCATAATGTTGGACATAAAATCAGTGTCCAATTTAGAGCAACTTCACTCCTTTCCTAACAAGTTTGTGTAAATGATTGGTACACCAAAGGACAGTAGAGAAAGCAAAAAGACAAAATTTACTAAGAGCTACTATTAACAGCAAATTGTAGTGAGCAATGAGTGCCCATATCCTGAAGAGATTATGGTACATAAAACATTCTTTGTTTAGATGAAGATGGTGTGATCCAAAGAGATATGTTTGTGTAAATATATATTTTCTATGTATTTGTGTGTTTTGTCACACATATTTGTGTATGGATAAATATACACATTTATATGCTTGAATTTCAGCAAATGTGTATTTGTAAAGGGTTTCATAAAAAGGTGCTTATAAAAAAAAAAGAATATATTTAAAAGAATAAACATGCATTAAAATTAAATATTTTTGATCGCTAGGGGAAATTCTCTCATTCTGATTGAATCAGCAATAAATCAAGAATAAATTTAACTTGTATTTATTCGTATGTATTTTTTAGATTTTCCTAAGTGTGCTTAGGCTTCTTTTGTTTCTAAATTTGTTCTTATTAAAAGAGTAATTCTTCAGATTTGAAAAGGATATTCTAGACATGCTGGTCTTTGACACAATTTTCATTTTAGAATCATTTAACCACTGTTAAATACCAATGCAGAGACTTAAATTATTTTCTGAAATTGTAATTTGGGTTGGTATTATGTTTTTTCAGTCTGTTTAATGGAAGATGCCTGCAATTTTCTGGATATAAAATTAAGAAATACAATGCTGCTTTCTTAACTGAAAGAATTGTTTCATTGTTTTTCTTTTTTTTTTTACAGATCATGACAACTATTAAGGAAATGTAATTAAATATACTTAAATGTTTAAAAAAAATTTAAGCAGTATTATTATTGTTTAGGTAATAAGCATTATAACATGGCACTCCTTGTATTATAGTGGCATTATCAATAATGTTTTTTTCATTATACCACACTTGTAACCCCTTCTTTCTTTACTGCCTAGCTTGCAGTGAATGATTAACAGATCAATAGCTATATTGTAAAAAAAAGAATTTTTGACAATATACGCATTTTTTACGTATGTATGGTTATTAAAAGTTAAAAAAATAACCAAAAACGACATTCTTGTACATGTAGTTATGGATAAGATTAATTATAATTTTTTTTAATTATTTACACTATTTACATTATTCAAACTATTGTCCTCATCTTTATTACCATATTTATCACAACGTTTCAGCCATTGTATGCTCTGGCCTTCTTCAGGTGGATGGAATATCAAACTGAAGTGTTTATTTCGCTCACTGGAGTAGACTGTTCTAGCTCCATGTGCCATGTCTAATGGATGTCAGTTGTCAGTTATCTCCTGTTAATTCACCTCTCCAAGTTCTCCACTGCCTTCACCAGGTATTGAACTCACAACTTTTGGGTCCTGTCACTGGATATAACCAATGCCTTTATCCACTGTGCTTAAGAGTTGTGATAAATATGGCAACAAAGTTGAGGACAATAGTCCAATTAATGTAAATAGCATACATAATATCTCATCTCAGAAACATAGACTAATAACTATTTATGCTCAGTTGTTGACATCAATAGCTATCTGCTGATGTATTAAAATTTTGGAATAATGCAATAATAAAAATTTAAATTTCATCTCTCTAATAAATGTCATGATCTGTTAATCATTTCACTGCAAGCTAGGCAGTAAAGAAAGAAGGGGTTACTGAGTGTGGTATAATGAAAAAATAACATTTTTAAGGAGTGAGAACATTAAAAGAACAAGAATTAAAGAGACAGAATATAATGATTGAAATTGCATTTAAATTTTGGAGGAAAGCAAGAAACTGAAAAAGTGTTCCACAAGTGAGAAGTGTGAGAAAAGAAACTGTTAGCATAGAACTTACGGTTATATATTGCCATTTCAACTTTAAAATGATGAAACTTTGCTGCCAATCTAGTACAGCACTTAAATTAATAGTCTAAGTGCATTAGAGGAAAGCTCATCAGAAAAATTACCATTAAAATATTTATAGAAAATGTATAGCAAAGCTACATTACAGCAGTAGGAAAGTGACTGAAGTGGAGATGCCTGGTCAGGACCAGTAACATTGCAGA